AAAGTATTTATTGCTTTAATATTTTTGTTAGATTTCACTTTTGTGTTTTAGGGTAAACTTGACAAAGCTGTACCTTTGTATGAGCTGGCTGTTGAAATCCGGCAGAAATCCTTTGGCCCGAAGCACCCAAGCGTAGCTACTGCCTTGGTGAACTTAGCTGTTCTTTATAGCCAAATGGTAAGTTCCCAGAATGTAATGCTTTATAAATGAATAGTTTTAACATATGGAATATAGGCAAACATGTATTAGATATAGGTAAACATGTATTAGATATGACACAGTAAAAATAATTAAAGGACATTTAAGGTTATCTACTAACGTTCTCTTTAATACTTGAGAAATTATTAGTTACAATTGTAAGACAGTCCCTTCTTCTTAGTGTGAAATACTGTGTTTAGTTCATTGCATAGGCTTATTTATTTCTGGAGACTCCCTACATCTCTTTATCTAATATTGTTCCTAAGATGTATCATTTACTTAATGATGAGTAAGAGATGTGGTACCCTGGGGTACCACAAAGAAGTTTGTCCTTATATAATTGGATTAATGTTAGTTGTTACCAAGGCAGGTCTAAAACTTAATTTTCTAAATTTTATTATACTACTTCTTTAATTATGATTACTCCTAAATTAATCAGTTTATCTACATCTTGTAGGAGGATATTAACTCTTTTAAAGCACTTAGCCAAGTAGGTCAGCTCAGTCTAGAATACCTCAAAAGTAATTTCAGAAACCCAATGTGTTCAAATGAGCATTGTTTCTTTTTTTTATAAGAAAAAACACAGTGAGGCCTTGCCGTTATATGAACGAGCATTAAAGATTTATGAGGACAGCCTGGGTCGGATGCATCCTCGAGTTGGAGAAACACTAAAAAATTTAGCTGTGCTTAGGTAAGAAGTTTTCACTTTCCTCATACAGCCAAAAACCCTTTTATGACATCTTTGAGTCATCATAGAACCCCACAAAATAATTATTGCTGATACGCTTTTTATTGGAACAGAGGGGTTATTTTTGGCTGATCTAGTTCAAGAGACATTGAAACAGTATCCGAAAGTGAAATTGAAGGTAGCACAACCTAGTTTGTAGAGGAGAGTATCATGGTAAATAAGAGGATGGATTACATTTGCAGCTAAGTGGCTCTGGTGGTAATCTGGGCAATTTGCTATCCTCAAAGTGAATTTATCATATTGACTTTTGCATTATATTTACCTCAGGATGCTAACTTCCTTAAGCAGTCTCACTGCACCCATTACAATGTAGTCTTAATGGTGCCCCTATAAGACACTTGGCAGCAGACAAAAAGGAGAAGAACTTGGGGATTCTGTTTTATTGGTTTGCCTGAAAATGGACTTTTCTTGCAGAGTATAATTTACAAACTGAAGTTAAAATATAAAGTAAGATCATTTCTTAGGCAAAACACTAAGCCTAGAAATGATCCACAGACTCTTTCCAGGTAATGGGTCAAGCTGCCTCTTGCATGTCACTGTGGGAACATTAACCATTTCACAATGGACAGAAAACCTGGCTGTAGGGTTTTACAGAAGGTGAGGTGGAGAGCACAATGATGTTTAGTAAGTCTCCACACTTTTGGGTAGATTTCAGGTGGATTTTTTTTTTTTTTCACTTATTTATATTTTGTCATATGGTTACATGACTAGCAATTGGCTGAAATAATCTTGGAAATTCTGTGATAGTTGGCATTTTAGAAAATTCTGAAACTATTCAACAAATATAACTTTTTCTATATAAAAAACTAATAATAAAAAACCTCCAGTTTTTCAATCTTCAGCTTGGAAAAAAGAACACTTTTTTTTTTTGTATTTCTGTTTTCTTGTTTTTCTGTATCCTGTAAGATCATTTAGAATTGTTAAAAGGTTATCTTCTCATTTTGAGAATTTTTTTCTCCCAAAGCTATGAAGAAGGGGATTTTGAAAAAGCTGCTGAACTATACAAAAGGGCAATGGAAATAAAAGAAGCAGAAACGTCACTTTTGGGTGGAAAAGCTCCTTCCCAACATTCATCAAGTGGAGATACATTTAGCTTAAAAACAACCCATTCTCCTAATCTTTTCCTTCATCAAGGACAAAGGTGATAGCAGCAACTACAATTCATTGGAAATGCACCTTAGGATAAAATATTTAAGAAACATTTGGAACTTCAGAATTTAAAATTTATAAAAACTGTTAAGAAAATTTAATTTTACTTTGTGTGATTTAACTGATTATTTGTATGACATTGGACTACACTGAAGTTTGAGTCATGATTATTTCAACTTTATTTGTTTGAAAGAATTAGCTTTCCTATTGTGTGGGAACCAATATAGACACCTTGGAATCCTAAGATGACATGAAGTGTTGATCATGGAGAGTAGACTGGTCTCTGTTCTGTAAGAGCAGTTATAACTCTTTATTAGCAGTTAAGACAAGGAGTTCAAGAATTCCATGATTCTTATCTCTCAAAATCTACTTTAGCCTCACCATTTCTCATCTTGCTATTCAGTAGCAGTCAGGCCCAGTTGTCTACCTCAAAGAAAAGTTTCAGAATAAAGGGATAATGTTTATGGAACTATGAACTGTCTTCTGCAAAATGAACTAGTATTGGGAATCTCTGTCTGCTACATTTCTTTTATTCCAACTTTTCCTTGAGCAGATATGGCTAAGCCCACTGTTTTCTGTGCTTTCTACATTGTATATTGTTTTTACTGTGTAGAATGTACTTGCACAATCATTACTTCGTCAACAAAGGTCCGTCTAGTCAAGGCTATGGTTTTTCCAGTGGTCATGTATGGATGTGAGAGTTGGACTGTAAAGAAAGCTAAGCACTGAAGAATTGATGCTTTTGACTGTGGTGTTGGAGAAGACCCTTGAGAGTCCCTTGGACTGTAAGAAGATCTAACCAGTCCATCCTAAAGGAGATCAGTCCTGGGTGTTCATTGGAAGGACTGATGTTGAAGCTGAAACTCCAATACTTTGGCCACTTGATGCGAAGAGCTGACTCACTGGAAAAGACCTTGATGCTGGGAAAGATTGAGGGCAGGAGGAGAAGGGGACGACAGAGGATGAGATGGTTGGATGGCATCACTGACTCAATGGACATGGGTTTGGGTGGACTCCGGGAGTTGGTGATGGACAGGGAGGCCTGGTGTGCTGCAGTTCATGGGGTTGCAAAGAGTCAGACATGACTGAGCGACTGAAATGAAATCTATATTGCAGTAACAAATCAAGCTCTTTGGCACTCTTAACTTTCCCCAAAATATGGACACAACCTTCCTCCTTAAGTGGCCTAAATCTACCTCTTCATTTATCTTGAACTCAAATTAGCTGGCCATTTTATACTGAAAATTAAATATTTTTATAGATTTTATAAATACTGCCAATCTGGGGTATTGTTTCATACCATTTATGTATTTATATATAATAAAATTTTCAATTTTAATACTTGTAAAATTCCAGCATGTATTAATTGTAAAGGTGAAAGATGTGATAACCATATTTTACTATTTTAAAATAAAGGTGAAATTTCAAGCTTTTTCCACTCCAGTTTATATCAAAGGATTATATTTACATAATTAAGGAAAATGTTGAACACTACAAAAAAAAGAATTAGCACTGTAGTTTGCTAATTCACTGAGTAGTTTGCTCAACTTGAGCTTCAATGACTCCTTAGAATTTTGGTTAATGTTCTCTAAGGCTTGGCTACTCAAGGTGGTCTGTGGACCAGAATCATCAGTATTACCCTGGGAGCTTAGTAAAAATTCAGACAGGCTCTCCCCAGATCTACTGAATCAGAGTCTGCAATGTAGCTAGATTCTCAGGTGATTAATATGCACATAAGTTTGGGAAACAGTGGTCTAATTTTAAGGCACTAGAGTGGTGTTCATTGGAAGGACTGATGTTGAAGCTGAAACTCCAATACTTTGGCCACCTCATGCGAAGGGTTGACTCATTGGAAAAGACCCTGATGCTGGGAGGGATTGGGGGCAGGAGGAGAAGGGGACAACAGAGGATGAGGTGGCTGGATGGCATCACTGACTCGATGGGCATGAGTTTGAGTAAACTCCGGGAGCTGGTGACGGACAGGGAGGCCTGGCGTGCTGTGATTCATGGGGTCGCAAAGAGTCAGATACAACTGAGCAACTGAACTGAACAGAGTGGTGACTTAAAAGTAAATGAGGTAGAATCTTACAAAATGAGCATCATTCTCCTTTCTGGCAGAAGTACAAGAGGGAAAAAAGAAGATAAACTACAACAAATAACACATATTTCTGGGTTTGCCAGCTATGAAAGGCACAAAGCAATTGAATTCACAAATATATCAGACACTGACTGATTTTAGAATTAACCTTTTAGAGTTTAAAATTTTATTATTTAGTGGTGTAAGTAATTTAACACATCGTAAATATTAAATTTAAATGCCTTAAACTTTAGAAAATAACCTGAGATTAATATCCTAGAAGAAGCCTGAAAAAAAGGAAAAACTAGCAAAAGGATAATATGCATTTTTCTTTGTTCCAACAAAATTTGGACTTGAAAAATACACAAAAAGTGAAAACTTACATTATTCAAAGTGACTTTATGGTAAGTTATTAATTATACTTGAGGAGTGATTATTTCAAAAGGTTTAAGTTTAAATATAGTTTTTAAGACTATATTTTGATCTTACTAATTATACTACCAACTCAAATGTTTTCATGTAGAATGCCTACTTAAAAAGATAAAAAAAAATAGGGACTTCCCTGAGGTCTAGTGGTTGGGACTCCATGCTTCCACTACAGGAAGCACTATGATCCCACATGCCACGCTGCAAGGCCAAAAAAAGAGGTTCTCAAAAGGAATATTATGTGCACTTTAATATACACCTTTAACATGAAAAGCATAGGTTTCAAATAATTATAAACCTGAATTGGAAGGCTCTATAAAGTGTGGCAGTTATAATTAATTTTCATTCATTAATACTTTACAAAAAGAGAAATTCCAAAAAAAAAACATGCGACAGGGGAAGTTAAAGCTTCATTAATATTCTTAAATATTTATTACATTTTTGGGTTGGTCAGTGTGTTTATAGGTTTTCAGGAAATAATATTTTTACATAAAGAAACTCATAATACTTTTTTTACTACATGAAACATTTGAATAGTACCACAAATTAACCTCCCGTTAAATTTAAAAGGGATTAAAGTTAAACATATTGTTTGTTTTACTCTAATTCAGAGCATTTGTGCTAAGGCAATTTTGGGAGTGTGTTTCCATCTTTCACACTTGAAGCAATAGTGTTACAAATCTGGTCAAACACTGGGTTTATTTAGTAATGTAAAATTCAATGATGATTAATTTCTCATAGTCAGCTGTCTACGTATACAAATTTTTCATGATACACAGACTGTCAAGAGAGCACTCTAGATTACAAAAAATATTTGTTACCAGATTTTTTCTGCTAAAATAATAACTTTAATGGAAGATATAAGAAAAAAATTAGATAAGATTTTATAAAATATAAGATACCAGCAGGGTACAAATTAAGAACAGAAAAAAAAATCTTTAGAAGATATAGGTTCTAATCTGTATATGTATAACTGATTCACTTTGCTGCACACCTGAACAAAAATACAACATTGTAAATCAACTATACATCAATAAAAATTTTTTTAAAACGATAGCAGGGTCTAGCTATTTATCAAACTATATAAACTTAAACTTGTAAGTATAGCCTTACCAAATTAGTGTACCAAAGGAATGTTATTTAGAAAGACTGCATTTCTTTTCTGAAATTCAAAGCATCTCTATGAACTAGAAAAGTTATTTTACAGATGAACATACTAAACTTTTAAATAACTTCAATGACCTACCAAGGCAACATAAATACGTTTCAAGACTAGAAAGCTATCCCCATACATCCTGACATTACTGTAAACATAAGGATCACAGTACCCTAAAATCTCAAAACCAATATATTAAACATATGTGGTATTTGCAACTTTCTGAAATTAGTTTGTAGAATCTTATTTCATAAGTAGGAAAGGTACTTGTAATTTTCTAATTACATTTTCCCCTAGAGATAGAATTTAGACATTCTCTCTTCAAAGCAAAAAAATCATCAAAATAGGAAACGAGCACAGTAACAGCCGACAGATAACGGTTACACACACACATTCATTAGTCTCCAAACCATCACGAATTTACTTCAACCAAGGCTCTCTAAGCCTTCATTATTTGTATGCAAACTCCAGAGAAAAGCAGTTTATCAAATTACGATGATTAGGGAAAATGATACTCTTCCCTGTGAAGAAATACATGTCAGTCATTGCAGAGGTAATTTAGGCTTCATTTATTATCTGCTACCCAGGACAAGCTTTTGCTAGTACCTAATTACCCAGGGAATCAAATCTGAATAAAATAAAGTATTAGAAGGTAGCCCATATAATGGGTATAATTTAGGTGATCTTAAGCCTAAATTTATCTTTTGCTCCTCAATAAAGCACACTGACTCAGATAGATGATATGCTTTTGCTTAGTGCAGAAATACAATTTGTATATCCTGAAAATATCTTTATTTATCTATCCATGAAGAAAGTTTCTTTTTATTTGCCTCTGTCTTGCTTAGATTATATATATCACAAGTTTACAAACTTTTCCAGTGCCTACATTTCAGCTTGTATTTCATGAGGAAACATTTGAGAGGATGTTTTTACTTTATAGGTTTACAACTGGAAATTCACTGTTGCTCAAGTTAGTAATAGTGGGCTTGTAGAGAGCAATTCCAAACACAATGAGTATGTGCCCGCTGGCTATAATAAGCAACATGCTGTACCTCTTGTTCTTTCCCTATATTTGATCACACACTATTCTATCTATTGTCCATGGCCTCAGGCAACAGACTACAAAGGATTACAGGAAAGAAAAGAAATATACCAGCAAATTAGTCCTTTCTTCTCACCCCTCCCAAAAGGTCAAAACAGTTCAATGGCTCACCTACAATAATCCTTTGAAGTTTTCTTACTAGAATGAAACATGAGCTTTAAGAGAGCTTCTGATTTAGTCGAAGGATGGGAGCAATAAGCAATAGTCACAGAATTTCCAAAGAGTTAATAACAATTCAGTGAAGATTACACATCAACTGATGTTCCCCTAAGTTTTCTCAGTTTTTAAATGATTTTTTTTTAATTGCAAGGGAACAGGTTTAAACACAGGAAATAAAATATAGGCCAGTCCATTATTTACATGTTCTTCATCTTGGCCATAAGGTCTTCCAAGCTTTCATCAGAATCCTCTACTGTTACTTCAGGTACAGAATCTTCTTGCTATCAATAAATGAGGGAAACATGGTGAAAAAATAATCAAAGTTCTTGATGCTTAGGAACATATCAGTAAGCTATAGTCATGTTAAAAAAAAAATTTACAAAGTAAACCTTCTTTAATAAATATGGCTTCTAATTTTTAGGAGAGATAAAGTCCTTTATTTTCTCCATCAGTCATTTGACTTACAAGGCAGTAATTTCAGTGTTCTTGAGCTCTCTACTGAACTGGTATTTTTAAATGGTATCGTGGCTAAACTATCAATATACAGAAAAAATAGTCATTTAATCAAAATCTATTTCACCAATCCATCAGTGAATGAACAAAACTATTTTATGTCTATATTTTCAAATAGTTTAAAATGTGCTGTGCATATTTACATGTTAACACTAAATACCTCTCTCACACAAATCTTAATGCCTAGAAGGTAAAATATCTAAAATAAGAAACACCGGCATAAAATAGGTTGAAGATGGAAGAATACAAATAGACATTTTCTCTTATATCTTCTTATGGTAAATCAGATTTTAGATGTACCTTTTGGGGAACTGTATATGCCACTGTAATTCCTTTAGGTAAGTCAGGGATTGGACCTGAAGAATTTTTCAGTTCCTCTTCTGAAATCTCAGATACCAACTCAATACCTGTAAAGTTAAACTTAATCTTAAAACCACTTTCAAGGAACTTAATGAGCAATAATCATTCAAAACTTGTATAATCTTAATTATAATTAGATTCCCTCCCATAAAAGAATTTTTTTTGCTGACATTTCAATTTATAAAACAATTCCTACCCCACTCATTGTCTTCATGTATTATCTCTCCTTCTTCTTGAATAACCTCCTGTTTGGGCAGTGCTGCTACCTTTTTCTGTAGAAATCAAACAGTTTCAGTGTTTCTACTCATTCTCAGTTCTCTGAAGCATCATTCAGAATTGATCAGAATCAAGAATTCAGACAGACTTTTTCTAAGGTCTACACACAGAGACCTTACGGAATACATAGAGACCCCTGCAGATATGTACCACTAATCATCAGGAAAATGTGAATGAAAACCACAATGAGATAACACTTGTGAGAATGACTACCATCAAAAAGAAAACAAATAACAAATGTAAGCAAGGATGTGGAAAAAAGGGAAACCTTGTGCACTGTTAGCATGATTGTAAACTGGTGCAATCACTGGAAAAAGTATGGAGGTGTCTCAAAAAATTAAAAACACAACTACCATGTGATCTAGCAATTTCACTTCTGGGTTTTTGGTTTTTTTTATGAAAACAAAAACACTCAAAAGATATATAATCCAATGTTCATTGCAGCATAATTTATAACAGCCAAAACATGAAAGCAACCTAAATGTCTATCAACAGATAACTGGATAAAGAAGGTGTGGAACATATATACAATGGAATATGACTGAGCCATAAAAAAATTTACTATTTGCAACATGGATGGAACTAAAAGGCATTATGCTAAATGAAATAAGTCAGACAACCAAAGATAAATACCATATAATCTCATTTAAATAAAGGATCTAAAAACAAACAAAAGGAAAACAGACTCATAGATACAGAGAACAAATAATGTTGCCATAGGAGAGGTGGGGGTGCAAAATAAGTGAAGTGAACAAAAAGGTCTAAACCTATAATTATATAATAAGTCACAGAAATACAATTGACAGCACAGGGAATATAGTCAATAATATTTTAATAACTTTGTCTAGGAAGAGATGATAACTAGACTTATCATGGTGATCATTTGACAATGTATGCAAATGTCAAATCATTACGTGGTACACCTGAAACTAGCATAATACTGTATGTCAACCATATTTTAGCTTAAAAAATTAAAATTTAAAAACAGAATTCAGACAGGCCTTTTATCTTACAAAAAATAAGAAAGGACTTTGAACAAAATTTTCATTTTTAAAGCATGATGAATAAATTAGAACTTTAAAAATCCAGAATCCATTTACCTTGTATTCCAAATCTAAATAATTATTTCTTTTTTTAAAGTTTTTGTCCTATGCAATATGATCTTTCATGCATTGTGACACATTGACATATACCTTGTATTCCTCCTGCTGCTTCCTACAGTTTCTGTCATCACACTGAGGATTTGGCTTCATGGACATAGTAGGGAAAAAATCCTGCATTGCGTTGTATCCAAGGTAAAAACTAACAGTACCAAAATTTAACAGAAACCTAGAAAAACAAAGCAGACTTAAATAAACAAAACCATAAAAATATTAGAAAAAACTGATCCTTTTTTAAAAATTATTTTGAAGGTAATGATTTTTGTAACAAGAACCCAGAAAACATTTTTTTTATCTTGTTCATAGGGCCTGGCTTATAGTAGATTTTCTTGAATTAAACAACAGAATGCACTATTATTTTTTGAACCTGTAATAAAGATAAAATGCTGCCAATTAAACTATGACACGTCAACAACATTAAGAAGCATATTAATTTCAGAGAAGTTCAAATGTGAGATATCAAAGATATCTTAAAAACATCTTTGAGATATGGTTCTAAATCTCATTTTTAAAAGCTTTTTATATATGACACTGCAAAGTTTGCTATCTTAAATTTGTATTAAATCTCAATAAAATTTTACAGAAGTATTCACTCATGTAATAATCACTACCAGATCAAAATGTAGTTGGCCCTCCATACCTATGGGGAATTGATTCCGTAACACCCCCACCCCAGGGTCCTGCATAATATTTTCATATAACCTGTGCACATCCTCCCATATACTTTAAATGATCCTGATGGCTCACACAGTAAAGAATCTGCCTGCAATGCAGGACACCGGGGTTCAACTCCTTGGTTAGGAAGATTTTCTGGAGAAGGGAATGGCTACCCACTTCAGTACTCTTGCCTGAAGAAATCCATGGACAGAAGCAGGCTACAGTCCACAGAGTCACAAAGTGGCTGACATGACTGAGCAACTAAGCACTGAGCACTCTCACTTAGATTACTTACAATAGCTAATATAATGTAAACACTATGTAAGAAAGTGAAAGTGAAAGTGAAGTCACACAGTTGTGTCTGACTCTTTGTGACCCCATGGACTGTAGCCTACCAGGTTCCTCCGTCCATGGGATTTTCCAGGCAAGAATACTGGAGTGGGTTGTCATTGAAATAGTTGTAAATACAATACAAATACTATATAAACAGTTAACAGCTTGTGGCAATTCACATTTTGCTGTTTGGAACTTCATGGATTTTTTTTGGATCCACAACTGGTTGATTCTGCAGATGCAGAACCCAAGGAAATAAAGGACCAGCTGTATAGTGCATTTCCAATATGCCACAAAGCACCCTTGCTCCCTTACATTTAAATCTGATTCCTTTTTTTTTTAAGTTTTTATTTATTTATTTATTTTTGGCTACCCTGGGCCTTCATTGCCGCACACTGGCTTTTCTCCAGTTCAGTGTGCAGGCTTCTTATTGCAGTGGCTTCTCTTGTTGCAGTGCATGGGCCCTAGAGCACTCAAGACTTCAGTAGTTGGGGCATGTAAGCCCAGTAGTTGAGGCATGTGGGGCCTAGAGTACAGGCTAAGTAGTTTTGGCACATGGGCTCAGTTGCCTCTTGGCTTCCCAGAGCAGGAATTGAACCTGTGTCCCCTGCATTGGCAAGGGTATTCTTAACCACTGGACCACTGGGGAAGTCCCTGATTCCTTTTAGAAGCTTGTAAGTAGAGGAAAAATCATGTACAAACATAAACAACAAAAGGAAAAAAATTGAAAAAATGCATAGTCTCAACATACAACAAAGAAAGAAAAAAACGAAACAGAGAACAAGATGTCAGAGCAGAAGGTGGACATGGACTACATCTTTCTCCATGGATACATCAGGAATATATTTTCAGACACACAAGTGCATGCACACCAGCTGAGAGTGGACAGGAGTACCAGACCAGCAGAAAAGAATATACAGAACCATGCAAAACTTGGCAGGATGAAGGAAATAGGGGGGAAAACAGCAGTGGTACTAGGACTAGACCTGCCCTCGGAGGGTGGGGAACTGAAGCAGGGTTCTGATCTCTACATCAGGGCAATTTTCTGAGTCAGAGGAGAAATATTTAAGGCTGAGTGAAACAGCTGATCTGTGGCAACCTAAATGCAATTAGAATCAGAAGTCCTTGCCACAGTCATATGTACCCCAGACAGGGAAGCAGGTCCCCTAGAAGGTGCAGCAGCTGGGAGCTGGAGCTTAGGGATTGTGGAACAATCCCCAGGTGAGGGCTGCTGTTCACTGCGGAAAGATGGACCGAGGGGATGTGAGGGAGGAGACTGTGGTGGGAAATGACGGTGGAGGAAAGCCAGGCAGCCATGGAAGCAAGTCAATACTGCTAAGTCAAACAAGGGGGTGTAGCCATCACCACAGCCTCTCTCTTCACAAATGCCAACATGAGGAGCTGAACAACAGAGAGACTAGCCTATCAAGCACCTGACACACCCAACTACAGACCAGGACCCCACCCAGGGCATTCCTTTAAGTGCCTGATGCATGGAACTACAGAGTAGGACCCCATCCAGGGTGCCTGTTTAAGTGCCTGACACGCCCATCTACAGAGTAGGACCTCAGCCAGTGGGGCCTTCTATGTGCCTGACACGCTGAACAACAAGAAATACCCCAAGAGGGAGCCCTCTAAGGGCCTGAACAGGTGGAGCTATGGACAAAGACTAGCCAAAGAGGCTTCTGATTGCCAGCTACCAGAGGCTCAAAAGAAGACCCTGATAGGGCCATAACTCCTGTGGCTGAGGCAGTCCGTGTCCCTGCAGACTTGGCACTGCCAGGGTCCCAGTGACCCAAGCATCTGTGCCACCTTCACGCTCAACCTTCACTGAGGGAGAGCTGCCACATGCAAAAAAAAAAAAAGTCTTCCCATCTATGCACATGGGGTCTCTTCCCATTGTGTCCAATTCGTTGTGACCTTGTGGACTGTGGCCTGCCAGGCTTCTCTGTCAGGGGGGCATTCCCCAGGCAAGAATACTGGAGTGTATTGGCCATTACTGGTGTCCATACCCTTCTAAAGCACTGTATTTCCTGCTGCCATAGCCGCTAACTCCTCTGAGTACCTGGTGCTGCCAGAAACCCTGCAACCTAAGCAGCTGCACCACCTCCACAACTGGCCCTCACAGGGGCAGACCCAAGTCCTCCAGGCTCAGAAGCAAACCCCACTGGATGACCCACATGCAGAGGTGGAAATAAAACCACAGATGAAAACCAGGGGCTATATATATATATATAGTCCCAGTATAGCTAAGGAAGAAGACCCAAAACCTTCCCACCAGCTGTACAAACTGCAGATTAAACCCACATGATCAACTAGGCAGACTTTGGGTCTATGGAATATATAAAAGGACACTGAGAGCTCCCACAAAAGAAAACACACTAATTCTGATAGCTGTGGACAAAGGAGGCAAGAATACACAGAAGACCAGATCAGAATCTGACCTGCCCCAACAGCAGGTCCCGAGACCAGCAGTGTCAGAAGGTACCCTAGGGGGATGAGGTGGACTGTGACTCCCAGTGAGGGAAAGGACCCTGACAGAAGTGATTCAAGAAAAACATTTATTATTCTTATGTTTTGACTTCTTCTGTAGTTTCTTTTGGATTTTTCTTTTCTTCTTCCCACCTCTGCTGCACTTGTTGATTTTAATGGCACTATGAAATCTAATTAAGCTTTTGATGTTTTTTTTTTTTCAATCACACTTTTTGTTGTTATAAACCTCTGCCTCTGTGTTGGGCTTTTGCAGTTCTGTGGAGTTTTCCTTTTTTCTTCCTTTCCTCTACCTTTTTTTCTTTTCTAATTTTAATTTTTAACTTTTGAAAACACATTTTTTCTACATTTATTCCTTTGTTTGCTTTTCCTACTGTTCTTTTCCTCTTGCAGTTGATCTTTAATGTATATAAATCTTCTTTCTAAAGCTCTATTTAACTTTTCATATCTATTCGTTTTTTCTTTTCTTTCTTTCCTTTCCTCGGAACATATTTGCTAGTTTTGTTTTCATTGCTTTATTTCTCGCTAGGAACCTTACTTTAGTTTTGTTTTCCAGTTTGTGTTTTAGTTAGTTTTGTTCTTAACTGGTAGATATAACTTTTGGATTGCTCTGTTCACCATGTCAATCTACTGTACTTTATTTCTGTTTGACTGTTTTGATTTTGCTTATGGATGTATATGCATATGTGTATATTCCATTGTTTTCATTATTATTTGCCTGATTTTGTGACTGCCATTTGTCTAGGGTTCATCTTTGGTTGCTCATTTTTGGCTGTTTATTGCAATCTCACACATAATGCCATAACAAACCACTGTGGAACCTTTGTTCCTGACCAGAGATCAAGTCCTGAGCCTTTGGAGTGGGAGCACTGACTCCAAGACCCTAGACTACTGGAGAACTAACCCTCGGGAGTATCAGATAGTGAGAACTCACACAAAGGAAACCACCTGAATACAAGACCAGGTATCACCTAACCACCAGTAGCATCCTGTGCAGGATGCCTCATTCAAGCAACAAACAAAACAAAAATACAAACCCAACCGTCAGTAGACAGGATTACCACCTATTCAACCTTGCTGATCAGAAGAAACACAAACACAAAAATCAGCACAAACCTCATCCTATACGAAGCTTACACAAACCACTGGACCAACGGCAGAAACCAAAAGAAGAAAGAATTGAATCCTGATGCCTGGGAAAAGGAGACCTCAAACACAATAAATTAAAACTAAATAATAACATAAAGGTAGAGAAATACTGCACAAAAGAGGGAACAAGCTAGAAACAGTTCAGTTCAGTTCAGTTGCTCAGTCGTGTCCGACTCTGAGACCCCATGAATCGCAGCAGGCCAGGCCTCCCTGTCCATCACCAACTCCTGGAGTTTACTCAAACTCATGCCTATCGAGTCAGTGATGCCATCCAGCCATCTCATCCTCTGTCGTCCCCTTCTCCTCCTGCCCCCAATCCCTCCCAGCATCACGGTCTTTTCCAATGAGTCAACTCTTTGCATGAGGTGGCCAAAGTATTGGAGTTTCAGCTTCAGCATCAGTCCTTCCAGTGAACACCCAGGACTGATCTCCTTTAGGATGGACTGGTTGGATCTCCTTGCAGTCCAAGGGACTCTTCAACAGTCTTCTCCAACACCACAGTTCAAAAGCATCATTTCTTCAGCGCTCAGCTTTCTTCAT